AGTGCAAGCGTAGTAGGAGTAATAAGCAATGAAATACAGTAGCAAACGTGTGACTAGCCTAACACTAGGGTGAGCAGGGGTAAGGTTGCGTCAAGGTAAAGGTCATCAAGAAAGCATACTACCATGCAAGTCCTATCATAGTGTGATCATAGCACTAGCATTTCTATTTTAGTCATGCGTAATAGGTGCTACGAGATTGGGTGGGATGTGGCACCTTCAGTGTAGTCGTCTTCGTACTCCTCACGGTACTCATGATCCTCGTCCGTCTGGTTCTCCTCCGAGTCTGCAAACGATCGTATTATAGTCGCGTTAGCGACGTCTATAGAATAGCACAAAAAAGCAATGAAAATTCAAAAGAGCCAAATGCACTCAAACATAGGTTCATTGCGTAGAGCTCGATTTTAGATGAATTTTGGTCCTGGTTTCATATTTTTCTGAGGTCGTATGAATTAGTTATGAATTTCTGAAGTTTAAATCATTTCTGAGTTGTTAAGTATAACATAAAGCAAATGGAAATCCAAATCATAAGTGGTATTAATATGCATGCAAGGTTCATTAACTTAGGGAACTTAATCACATGTTTATGCCATGCTTATGTGTTGACTTGGGTTGGGGTTTGACCTAATGCATCTCTTAGGTTGGGTTTCTATACATGACACTCATCATCACATGGGAGTTCTAAGAAAATTTTTGCAGTTGGTATTTTTGGTGTGTGGATTTTTGAGTTGTTACATGGTGTCAATCAAATTGGTTTCTACATGTGGTATTACTAAACCAATATCATTATGTTGATTTTAATTTGGTATTTTTATGCTTTCTCCATGCATTATATACATTAAACTCCCTTGTGCATTAATTTGCTAATTTTTCATATACTTCACCCTCCACCATATATATGCATATATTTAGGGGGAGCATAGTCTATGTAATGTGAGAGTCAAGTTTTGTGATCTATTCCACTCCACATACAAAGGATCACAAAATTTGACCCTCCCTTGTGCTACTAATGTCTTCCTTTTCGGTGTTTGATTCCAAAGGGGGAGAATTTATAGGACCAAAAGCAAGCCAAACACATAGTTCAAAAGGGAAAACCCTAATTGGGAATGATATGATAAAGGAAGAATAGTGGATTATGGAGTTAGGGGAGGCTTAAATCCATAATACCACATGCGAACATTTATAAGGGCAAGATAAGCTTCCAAAGATTTTCACAAGTGGTATTTTTTAGCATCATATAAACTTGCCTTTGCATTGCATCCTAGCAAGTAGATAGCCTTTAAATTTGTGTATCTATTATTATTTGCTTGCTTTGATCGTGTTGTCATCAATCACCAAAAAGGGGGACATTGTAAGGAAAATGGACCCTAAGCCCATTTAGTTTAGATTTTGGTGTTTGATGATCAACATGACCAAATTGGACTAATGTGTTTGCTAGTGTTTATTTTATAGTTCAACAGGATGCAACGCAGGCTTGGACCAAGCTTGGAACACGAAGAAAATGATCAACACTCAAAATAAGACATTGGAGGAGGTGTTGACAGCTTAGAAGTGAAGCAAGGAGTCCAAGACGCAAAGATGATGAAGCCCTGACGAAGAAACACGAAGAAACAGCAAGAGGGAGCACCGCCCTGGTCATCGCCCTAGGCATGGCGGTGCACCACCAGGGGGTGGCGGTGCCACCAAACAGAGGGCTACTATAGCTGGAGAAGAGGGGGGCATCAAACAGCACCGTGTGCACTGCCCTAGTCACCACCATGGGGTGGCACCGGACAGGGGGTTGCGGTGCCACCGCCCTAATTTTCCAGAGTGCAACGAATGGGGACTTGGGCACCGCCTTGGTCACCGCCCTAAGGGTGGCGGTGCACCGCCCTATGAATAGTACCCTCAACGGTCGGGTCTCAGTGACCAACAGCTAGCTGATGTGGCAGGGTGTCGCCTTGTCCGGTGACCTCACAGAGATGACCATCTCGGGCACAACGACTAGTCCTTCACTTTGGGGCTATAAAAGGGACCCCAACTGGCCATCTGGAGGGAGAGGGAGCTGAGGGAAGATAGGAGGGTGTTGCTACACCTCATTTGTGCTCTCCACATGCATAGGGCTTAAAGCTCACTTGGTGATTAGCGTAGATACTTTGCGAAGTGTTTAGGTTAGTTAGACCATGCTCATATGCGCTTTCTCTAGGGTTAGGTCTAGTTGCTAGTGAGGTTTGCATACCTCTTGATCAAAGGTGCTTGCACGCACCATGCTTATACTCGGCAGGGCTTGTAGTATTGCAAGACCACACTAACCGTGCTTGTGGTGTGTCCGCCACCGTGTACCGAAGGGAACAAGGCCTGCGGTGATTCGGCCGGAAGCTTGATAGTGAAGACGGCGGGGAGCGATCCAGGAGAGGCCTGCCGGAAGGTACACTGGAGACCCACTTGCACGTGGGGAAGGTCCGGAGCTATCCATGGAGTTACCCGACCAGGAGTTTGGCCCTTGCGATGGATTCCTTACGAGGGGTTCAAACGAGGACTAGGGGGAAGCTTGAGCGCTTCTCGATACCTCGGTAAAACTACCGGAGTCATCGACGGGAGTTTGCATCTCTACCTCATCTTTACCTTTCGCATTTATATTGCTACCTTGGTTATGTGCTTTACTTTCCTATCTTAGTTGATAGGCTAGTCGATAGGATTGGAACCTAGGTTGCATAATTGTTTTGCGGTAGAGATAGCAACACACCTAGCAAAACCGTAGTTGCACATTTAGATAAATTACTTTCTTGCATAGGTTTTGACTAGGTGGAATTAGAGGCCTCAATTAAAAGTAGAATTTTAAGTTGCCTAATTCATCATCCTCTTTAGCGTCACGGTCCTTACAATCTAGATGCAAAGAGAGGAGTCAAAGAGGTTAGCAGCATTGTCCGGACAGCTAGCACGAGGATCTCACTTCATCTATCAGAGGGTAGAATGCCCTTCCTGAGCAACCGAGGAAGGATCATGCTAAGACAACCTCTCAGTTGAACTATATGTACAAGCAGATAGGCCTTGGACCCCTCCATGTTGCCGATCCTTAACTTGAATAACTTGATCGCCAATTTCCATTAAAAGTAAGAATTAAATGACAATCACCACGGTTATAGGGTTTAATTCTAATCAATTCTATAAGTTTGTGCGATTATGTGAACTAGACATTTTTGGCCCAAACAGGGTCGGACAACCAAGCCCATGGTATGTCGATGTTACACCCAGTTTTAAGAATAAAACAAGGATCAATTTTTAAACATACAGCGACATCATAAGTGAAGAACAATTTATTAAATAAGCAAATATATATTGGTTTCTATTTTCTTAAAATAAAAAAACAAGTTCAGTCTCTGAAGAATCATAACTAATTTAATTTGGACAAGATAAATATGAAGCTAGTACTAGTTATTTAAAAAAATGATATCCATCAATTGGTGATCTATTAAGGTAGATTTTGGAACTTATTATTTTTCAATATTGTTTCGTTGCTCGTATTGAAACACTAAGAACATGCACAAATACAATTCAAATAACTCCAAAAGGAACACCAATAGATAGATAACATTTTTAGCAAAAAAATGTATACTTATGTCATATTTTAATAATTGAAGATAAATTACTTAAGGGTATATTTGGATCCCATGAAATGACACCGATATCCAGAAAGTATTTTCCATTTTATTACTAGGTTATTTTCTAATTCCTCTAAATCTCTAGGAACCAAGAGTTCTTAGAGGTTACTTAGGGCCTGTTGGGAAGGACTAGGACTTAAGTGGACTAACAACTAGTCCATGACATTAGTCCTCTTAGCTCATATAAGTGGACTAGTGAACTATCATCTAGTTCATGACACTAAGGGACTAACAATTAGTCCGTCTGTTTGGATGCTGTTTGGATGTTTAAGGACAAAAAATTAATCAACTAGTTGTTAGTTTTATGGATTGAAACAGAACCTTAAGAGTCTACCAAGCAGGAGGCCCTGCCTATAGTCCTCTCAATTTGGCAGCGCCTCGTACGTGCTTGGTGCCATAACCAGATAACCACGTTGTGCTGACTGCAAAAAGAGCATTGCGTACACCTATCAGAGGTAGCACATAGTAGGGCGCATTGTGACCAGTCTCAAGGCACCACCACCTGTCTTAAACAAGTCACAAGTTTCAAATGTCTTCTTGCGGTGTCTTAGGCCAGTCTCAATGAGAGTTTCATGTCCCAGTGTTCAACGTATCCATATTTTGGAAACAGTTAAAACTATCTCTACTCCCATAAAATTTTTATCATCTCTCTTCATAAATACAGTGCCACATCAGCATATTTAATGCCTATAAAACTTTAATAAAACCCTATTGAGACTGGCCTTATACAGATCGGAATGGCAACACGCAAAGTGATGAGGAACACGGAACGACCATTGGCATGTAAAGCTCTATGAATTGGTGTTATCCATTATATAACAACTCGCAGAACATCACAAAATTGCACGTCAAGGGGTTGGGTCAGAAAAAAAAATCGCCTCCGTGTACAATAAAATGGTGAGTCATGAGCCATGCTGATCTGATATATGCTAATAGCTCACACGACATCACAAACAACTCATACTACATTACAGAGTTAGTTTCATGAACAAACAAAGTAGGCCGGAGAGGACAACAATCCTTGACGTGTAAAGTGAATTTACAAAGCCATATATCAAAGCTATATCTAATTCGTTTTACGTAGATCAACCACCTGTAAAAGGCAACAAAATGAGCCACGCAAAAGTACAGAATGAACCCAAATGAACCCTCACATGCTACATAAAAGTGAATGATGAGTCAAAAATATTTGGCAAGAAACCGTGAAAACTACAGCCATCGGTAGCATAGGAACACAAGAAATAACTGTGCTAATCGAAGCTATAAATAACCCTCGTATGCCTAAGCACTTCTCCATCACCACCACTGGTCTTCATCAACCTATTTCCTCATCTACTCCAGAGCACATTAGAACTCGACACCATGAAGGTGTTGCTCGTTGCCCTCGTTATCGTGGCTCTCGCTGCGAGCGCCACCTCCACGCTTACAAGCGGCGGCTGCGGCTGCCAGATACCTCATCTGCCACCACCGCCAGTTCATCTGCCGCCACCGGTGCATCTGCCACCGCCGGTTCATGTGCCGCCACCGCCACCATCATGCCACTACCCTACTCTACCGCCCCAGCCTCAGCCACCACATCCATGCCCATACCAACCGCCGTATCCAAGCCCGTGCCATCCAGGGCATCCCATTGGCACCCCACCGATCCTGGGCCAGTGCATCGAGTTCCTGAGGCATCAGTGCAGCCCGGCGGCGACGGCCTACTGCTCGCCACAGTGCCAGGCGTTGCGGCAGCAGTGCTGCCAGCAGCTCAGGCAGGTGGAGCCGCTGCACCGTTACCAGGCGGTCTTCGGCGTGGTCCTGCAGTCCATCCAGCAGCAGCAGCCGCAAGGCCAGTCGCCGCTCGGGGCACTGATGGCGGCGCAAATAGCGCAGCAACTGATGGCGATGTGCGGTCTGCAGCCAATTACAAGTCCCTGCCCTTCTTGCAGGGCTCCTGCCGGCGTTGTCCATCACTGAAGAAACTATGTACTGTAATAATGTTATATAGCCGCTGGCTAGCTAGCTAGTTTAGTCATTCAGCGGCGATGAGTAATAAAGTGCCATCCATCACCATGGGTGGCAATGTGAGCAATGACCTGAATGAACAATTAAAATGAAAAGAAAAAATATATTACATGTCAACAAGATCCCTTGGCAATGGAGACCCGACCTCTGATTCCCCGCGAAAAATTCCTCTATTAGGGGGCAGGGACAGGGACAGGGATATGTTAAGATTATCAATATCAACCAATGGGGTGAGGATCATTTTTCCAAATTTGGTCCAATCTAGAATACTTGCTAAAGATATTTAACTCGGTTTGATCCAAGGACAAGCTTCTTCACACCTCATTTCAAAGGTTATCATGTACCATGTTGAGTTAAACACTTATAGTTCATTTTCTAGATCAAACACTAGATTCATAAGCCCAGAAATATGTCATATGCTACCACTAGATCAAGTCAAGCATAAAAGCAATAGTGGTACCATACAAGCATCAAATTTATTTGATTATCATGAATGAGTCTAAGACATGTGAGAAATGACTAGATGCACTAAATAAGTCCTTAATAAAGGATGTATGCCATGACAATCAACTTTTACCTTGAATTGCTCAAATGAGAGGCATGTCATATAAGTGGGGGTGCATCAACACATATTTGAGAAATCCAATATGTTCAACTTATTCCTTAGCTTGCAAAACCTTTTCTCATCCAATGGCTTGGTGAATATGTCAGCAAGTTAATCTTCGGTGCCTACACTCTCAATACAAATGTCCCCTTATTGTTCATGATCTCTAATGAAATGGTGGCGGACATCAATGTGCTTTGTTCTTGCATGTTAAACACGATTGATGGTGAGCTTGATTGCACTCTCATTGTCACATAGCAATGACACTTTTTTGAACTTGATTCCAAAGTCATTCAATGTGGCCTTCATCCAAAGAATTTGTGCACAACAACTTCCGATGGATATATATTCGGCTTCGGCAGTTGATAATACAACACTATTTTGTTTCTTTGATGACCATGAAACAAGTGATCTTCCCAACAATTGACACGTGTCTGAGGTGCTCTTTCTTTCAACTTTGCATCCCGCATAATTCGAGTCGGAGTAACCAACTAACTCAAATTTTGCTCCTTTAGGATACCACAAACCAACATTTTGTATATGCTTCAAATACCTCAATATTCTATTTGTAACCTTCAAATGACTTTTTGTATATGCTTCAAATAGCTCGGCTTGATCAGGCTAATCGAGCGGGTCGATTTGGTCAGCAAAGCATTGCTGCATGCACCTTTTGTAGGTGGCACCAGCGTTCTTCAGGACAAAAGGCATGGTTATGTAGCAGTACGAACCCTACGGGGTGACGAATGAGGTTGCAAGCTGATCAGACTCTTTCATCGCTATCTGTTGATAGCCCAAGTAAGCATCCAGAAAGGAGAGGATCTCACAACTCGAGGTGGAGTCGACTATCTAGTCTATGTGTGGCAAAGAAAAATGATCCTTTGGACACGCTTTGTTGAGGCCAGTATAATCAACGCACATTCTCTATTTTCCGGTCTTCTTTTTAACAAGAATGGGATTGGCAAGCCAGTCAAAGTCGAATACCTCTCTGATGAATCCAGCTGCCAGGAGTTTGGTGATCTCTTCGCCTATGGCCCTGCACCTCTCATCATCGAAGCGGCGCAAGCGTTGCTTAGCGAGGCTTCGAGCCTAGAATGAGGCGTAGTGCGTGCTCGGCGATGTCCCGTGGTATGCCTGGCATGTTAGATGGTTTCCATGCGAAGACATCACGATTGTCGCATAGGAAGTCGACGAGCTCACATTCCTATTTGGCCAGGAGCTAGGTCTCGATCCGCACCGTCTTAGTTGGGTCGGTGGGGTCAATCCCCACCGCCTTGGTTTCCTCGAGCGAGCAGAAGGCCATCGAGGAGGTTGGTTTGTTGTAGTCTAGGACTGCTGGGGTCGATGACTCCCTGAGCCGTGGGAGCTCGGTCGAGTTGATGACCGCGGTGGCGAGCTCGAAATGCTCGTGGTCGCACGCGAAGGCGTGCAAGAAGGTGCTGCTCACGGTGATTACGCCGTTCGGTCCCGGCATCTTTAGTTTGAGGTAGGTGTAGTTGGGGATTGCCATGAATTTGGCGTAGCATGGCTGCCCCAAGATGGCGTGGTAGGACCCTGGGAAGTCCACACTTCGAAGGTGAGGACCTCCGAGCAGAAGTTAGCTCGGTTGCCAAATATGACGAGCAAATCGATCTGCCCGAGTGGGTATGCCTGCGCTCCCAGGATCACCCTGTGGAAGGGAGAGCCCGCTAGGCGGAGTTCCAACCGAGGGATGCACATGGCGTCGAGGGTGTCGACGTAGAGGATGTTGAGGCCGCTGCCTCCGTCCACCAGCACCTTGGTGAGGCACTTCTTGCGGACGATGGGGTCAACAACGAGCGGGTAGCATCCTAGTCTCACGATGTGGGAGGGATTGTCCCTCTGATAGAAGGTGATCGGAGATTCTGACCAGCTAAGGAAGGAGGGGACGACTGTCTCAGCGGTGCATGCCTCCCTATAGCACACCTTGTGCTGGCGCTTGGACCAGATGGCGTCGGATCCACTGAAGATCATGATGCATTCCTTAGGGTCGGGGAAGCTGTCTCCGTCCTTGCCCGCCGTGCCTCCTTTCTTGGCTACCGCCTCTTTGCCATCTCCCTCTTTCGGCCTGCCAGCCTATCGGAGGAAACGTTTGAGGAGCTCATAGTCCTTGTAGAGGTGTTTGACGAGGTATGCGTGGTTGGTGCATGGGCTATCCATGAGTTTGTGAAGTGGTCAGGTAGGCCCTGTTGGGACTACTTGCCCGTGCGATCAGCTGCGACGACCAACACAGTGTTGTCCAGTTGGCGCCGATCCTTTTTGTTCTTCTTGCCCCTCTGTGTGGAGGGGCCCTTGTCTTGGTCAGTGCGCTTGGCCTTGCCTTTGTCTCGGCATCCATTGAAGACCGCTCCGACCGCCTCCTCGCCGGAGGCATGGTTGGTGGCAACGTCAAGCAGATCGCGGGTGGTACGGGGCTTCAGGCAGCTGAGCTTGTGGATCAGGGACTCATAGGTCATCCCAGAGAGGAATGTGCTTATGACGTCCGCATCGACGACATCAGGGAGGGGGTTGCATCATTGGGAGAACCTACGGATGTAATCCCGCAGGGACTCGTTGGGCTCCTGCTGGCAGCTCTTGAGGTCCTAGGAGTTTCCAGGGTGGACATACGTCCCCTAGAAATTTCTAACAAAGACCCTCTTGAGGTCCGCTGTGGCAAAACCTCCTAAATTATAGGGCCCACATGCACCTGTCACTGTCCAACGACCTTTGACATCTATGCATACGTTCCCGGTAAATTAAGAAGACTGTCAGGTGTCCTCGGGGAACCCCGAATCATCCACGATTTCCGAGCAGGATCACATTACAGAGTCATTACAGTATTACAATAGTTTATTCAAATAGATACATCAGAGTAAATATAGCGAAAGACTTACAATAACATAGTTTACAAACCATTTGTTTCAAACCTTACAACTAAGTTCGATTAATATTACAAAACAAAGTAGTGGAGAGGCATTATAATATATTACAAAACACACAATTAAAGCTGCCATGCCCAAGGGCCACACATTTACTTATCGTCATCACAAGGAACAACCGTCATGCAGCATGATCCAAAACAGATCTGCTCATGAGCCTCACCTGCAACAAGGGTCAACGAACCCTGAGTACAAAAGTACTCAACAAGACTTAACCAAAAATAAAAACTGATAGAACTTATGAATGCAGGCTCAGGGATTCAAGGTATGGCTTTAGCAATAATCAAAGTTCTTTTGCGTAAAAGCACTTTAATAAAATTCTTTATATCAACATCTAAAACTTCAGAAGATCATATACAAAGCTGATACGATCCGTATTGAGATCATGAAACTTCGTATCCAACACTTTCTCAAACTATCCTCAAGTTCTAGTTATTAACACTACGATGATGAACGGTGAGTTGAGTCTTCATAACCGAGGAGCAACGACGATTCGAACCGATTAAAACCCCAGCTAGGAATTCCAGGCCACACGACATATGCAGGTCCCCGACCTACATATACCAACCTACCCTCGGATCCTCTACACAAGAATGGGTCCGCACCACCCGAGAATACAGTACTCCACCAATCTAGCCCATTGCCACGTGGGTACACGCTATTCCCGCCATCTCTCCACTCCTAGTGCGTGAGTAGCCATTCTCGTAATAGAATAGCCAAGTTAAGGCTTACCGGAGTATGTGGTTAGTACTACAAAGTCTCACCTCATGCAATTCAACAACGGACGGACCTTAATCGACACAGGCAGAAAGAACCCGCTCACAAGACCTCCATGTCTTGTGGCTCACACACACCGAGTCCGCCCGGTCTAGATTTATTACTCCACATTCCCATATCACATGTTAACATAAATAACCAAAGTTCCATTTAAAGTTCGCAGGTGACATGTAATCACCCGACTTTCATCGTTCTAAGCATAGCTAAGCAAAACTAGGCATATACGAATTTAAAACTGGTAATATGGTAAATATGGAATAACAAGGTTGGTAATGTGCCAATTTGATTTTCACTTGACTCCTAATCACTTAATGCAGTAAAAAGAAGCAAAAGCAAAATTAATTTGTAAAATACAAGGTAGGGTTGTATGCATCCGGGGCTTGCCTTCGTTGACGGAAAAGTCTGGGTCCGGAGTCGTTCCACCGATATCAACACTAACCTCCACAGATGGATCAACCTCCTCAACTACTTGATTAACTACCATGTGTTCACCTTCGTTCACTACATGAAGTAACAATGCCATGTTTAACATGATGCAGGATACAAAATATGATGCTCGATGATGGATGCAAAAGTTAACAATTTGATTACAACTTTCCTTCGCGGTACATTTACAAGTCAAACTAACTAAACCTATT